TTTCAACTTATTTGTGTTTATGTTAGTGCGCGTCTGCCTGACAGTTAAAATATACTCCATGTGTTCTGATGTTCTCATCTTTACATACCGCTGAATCTGATTTTGGAGCAATGGGGGAAAACTGAAAAAGCAGATGCCAATTTTTCACAGAATTGCGGACTAGTTATATATAAACTGCAGTAAAGTGCGTATTTTCTCCGTAAAAGTAATATTAAACTCTAAAAAGCACCATGCACATTTTAAGAAATAAGCAACCTAAAGAACACATGACGACGAGGACTTAACAACAAACCTATAGCCGACGTAGAGCAGAAGACGAAGCGAGAAGATAACACTGTACGTACCGAGGCCTAGCAACAGCAAGTGCAGCCAGTGACAACGACTAGTATGGAGACCGACCACACCGAAGTGAAAAACTCCCCGCTCATCGCGGATGAAGCGGCTTTTGGAACGAACGAGCTGAAGTTTACGACGCTTCAAGTTATTTTCGAAGACAGCATCTCTCCAAATTGCTTGACACGCACGAACGCCATCGAAAATTGAACTACGCCGAACGAAAACGCAAACAGAACAACGGACCTCGCGATGCTCAACACTACGTTGCAAATGATGGCGCGACTTCTCGAAAGGTAGTTGGGAACACCACCAGGCACATTGAACAACAACGCCACCAGTGCTCAGCTGCAAATAACTACGACAGCAGATCTGACAGGAACCCTGCCGACCTATTCGGGAACTGAGTCAGACCGCTTCGCTCGGTGGGAGACTGCCGTAGAATCAATGCGCGAGTGGTGCGCACGGACTGAGGCAGCAACAATCAACGCAGGAATCTCGCGACTTAGGGGCCGCACAGCCCCTTGGCACCAAACTACTGGGCACCTGCACGCTGACTGGACATCATGAATAATGGCATTAAAAACTGAATTTGACAAGCCTCTCCTGTTCTGTCAATGGGTCGCCTATGTCGACGCAAGAGCTCAATGAGAGAACGAAACTATGACAGACTATATATACGGAGCTGCACGGCTTCATTGACCTGTGACTCCATATTATATAAAATATTGAAGTATTATAAAAAATACCTGTTCAAACAAGCAATAATCATAAAATCATAACCCTCTATCAATTGCTCATCAATACCTCTGCAAGGGAACGTTGTCGCAATGAAGAGTAACGGCTTGGCTTGGCTTCAGATTCAGAACTTTCTACAGGGCCTCCCCTAGGTGTCACTGTAGTTGCTGTGCTCCTCTTCAAATCTGTGTTATCACCTTAAATGAAATGAATTCAATCATTATTATTTATGAAGCATTTCTGCACTAATATTGCTGGTGATGAAAAGTAAACGATACAAAGCTATTTTTATATTTGGAAAACTAAATTTTTCAAAAGCAAAACGCACATTGTGCACATGAAGCAAAGGTCATTTCTGAAGAGAAACATACGATTTGAAAAAACATATTCCACAAGTTACAATATATAGCCAACATAAGTTTCATAGTAAATGCACAACTTGAAATGACTTTGATTTACATCAATAAACAGTAACAATCTAAGCAGCACTGTGGGATGAATAAATGCTGACATCTGAGATCTCATATTGCCACATCCTTATTTGTACCTGCTATGTGCAGACAAAAGCAATGAAGATAATTGATCTGGTAGTGCGAGTGTCTCTTCTAGTACAACACACAGGCTATGACTTCTATTTGTGTTGTCACCAGTGAAGCTAGGCACAAATATGGATGCACCATCATTATGGACAGAGACGCTTTATTAATTGAAATACTCAAGTATTTAAAGGCCAACTCCAGCGATTTCGCAACTATGTGAGGGTGATCGTGATTCTGTGTCCCTGAGAAACTCTTGCCACGAGCCTAATAGCTGAAATAATAATAATAATAATAATAATAATAATAATAATATAATAATAATAATAATAATTTCTCCTAAATACGTGGTACAATACTAATGCAAAGAATTCAAGCAAGCTGTTTTCGGTGACGTATGCTTACAACAGGTCAAATCTTTTGTGATGAATTCTTGGCCACCACACATGCATTCGTGAGCAGATCAAGCCATTTTTCAACATACGTGAAGAACTTTCAGTAATTGATGACTTATTGTTGCGTGCACAGCAGCTGGTCCTTCCTTATTCTTCTTGCCCACATCATCGCCACCATGCATAAGACGCATCATGGCATCACGCGCACGAAAGCAAGACTCCGCAAACAGTTCTGGTGGCCTGGTATGGACAAAGAAGTCAAAACAGCCATAAAGAACTGTAGTGTGTGCTTGGAGGCAGATAAGTCTGTGAAAACATCACCAGCCCCACATGAAGCCCGTAGAATGGCCTCAGCGACCATGGCAAAAGCTTTGCATTGATATTGTGGGCCCCTTTGAACATGTGCCTCAGAACAACAGGTTCATAATCACACTCGTGGATTATCACTCAAATTGGCCCGAAGCTTATTTCTGTAGTAGCGTGTCCACAAGTACAGTCAAGGAGTTTCTAACCAAAGTATTTTCGCGAAAGGTTATCCTGCAGAAATAGTCAGTGACAATGGGCCACAATTTATTTCTCATCAATTCACAAAATTTTTTCACGATCGAGCCATTCGCTTGTCTCATTCATCAGTTTACTATCCTCACGATAGTGGACAAGTCTAACGCTTTATTCGAACTCTAAAGAACTATGTACAGGTGTGTCTTCTGGAGTGACAACCCTTCCACCAAGCAGTAACTGAGTATCTGGGTGTATACAGATGCACCACATGCCACAACCAGCGTTGCACCAGCAGTGATGTTGCATGGCAGGATGCCCCAAAAAGGCTGCATGTAGTAGGTTTTTCTGCACCAGCTTTTGAAGAAGATCCAGCTAAAGAGCTCTCACGATTACGCCATAGGATCAAGGAACAGCAGCAAACATGCAAACAATATGCGGACCGCAGAAGAGCTGCCAAAGAGAGTACAATCACAGTAGGTGATTTTGTTCGTGTCAGGAAGTAGTCTATTCGTTTCAAAGGAGATAGTGTCTTTTTATCGCCAACAAAAGTTGTGAAGAAACAAGGACCTTCCTCCTTCTGGCTACAAGATGGTAGGACCTGGAACGCCTCAAAACTTGCCAAAGGTCCTCAAACGAGCCAGTTTCATCTTCCTGAGTGTTCCAGTGAGCTGCTGCCACTTCCTTGCGAGTGTGCTGTGCCATGCTATCGTTCTGTGCCTACTTCTCCTACAACGGTGCAACCACAACAGTCTCCTGTTTTACCAGCTTCTCCTGCCGGGTTGCCCCACCTAAGCCTTCTGCTGCGCCAGCTGTTGCGGTGCCAGTGCCACGGCCTACTAGTGTGCAACCAACCTCATCTGGTCCTGTGCAGTCTCAGCCTGTGTCGGCCCAGACTGCTGCCACGCAAGCAACACAGCGGCCGCAGCGAGAACGACGACCTGCTGGATGGGTGAAAGACTATGTATCGAAGTAGTGCGGGTGTACATTGTGTATATGAGTGTTCTCTATTTGTTCTAACCCCTACTAAAACCACTAACCTCTTTAAATAAGGAAGGAAAAATTTGTAATGTGATTTTATTTTCAGTTTCGTTCTGTTCTTTGTACCACAAAGGGGGCATTGTTTATGTGTGTCTGTCCTGTATGTATGTAGGTGTCCTGAGTAATAACGGCTTCTTCGAGTCTATGTTTCGACCTGTTCATGGTCGCTCTATGGACACTACAACCACCTTAGTTTTAAGTTCTGTCACTAGTGCCAAACTGTCATAATAAATAATTTAGGAAAGTGCACACAGTGCAAACTTTCTCAAAATTGGTCATAAATCACCCTTCCCGCTTGGCGTGATAAACACCTTGGAATGAGACAGATGAACCTCAGGATTACATGGTCAAAAGAATTTTCAAGGAGCGTAAGTAGGAGTGGAAATATAACAATCACTATATTTGCCTCACACCGTTCTACTCAACTTGCTTCATTCCAAGAGAGGGCAGCATGGTTTGAGGCGCCCCACCCAGTGCATTGCATCCCCTTGCTTATATGCTTGTGGTTTTCTTTCTGGGTAGCTGTAGCTGTGCAGTCTGGTGTGGTGTATTTACTACTTTTACTCAGAGAAACTGGATGGCGTTTTGAGCGCGCACAAATGAAGTTGCCGCAAGCCAACGCTTTTGTCCCAGAAGAGAGCGCACAACCACTTATTCGCCGTTGGTAAGCTAGCATCTTTTTTTTTCTTTGTATACTATAAACTGCTCAAGCTGACTAAGAAGGTTTTTAAGAAAGACGTTTCATAAGAAGTTACTTCCATTTCGTATCAAGTTTTGCACGTTTTACGAGAAAATAAGCAGTGAGGTATGATTGGGAACTGCCTGCATATTTGTGAGCTCCTCTACAAAAAGAACCCGAAGGGCAGGCTAAGAGTATTCCTTTGCTGTCGCCATATGATTGCAATAGAGCTGGCTACATGCAGATTTTCTATGCCTAACTATGACGCATTGGATCCCCTGTGTGACATGACATAGGTATAGCTATAACAGCGTCAGCGTTGCATAAATCGGCAGATACACCCGTTCGCCGGTATCGTGATGCATGTGTTCGTTACATGCTACCCTATTTAAAAAGTTAGTGGTGTTGCCACAGCAGTGCCTTCCATCATTATTGGACTAGTGTGGCATAGGGCATAGAGTTTCCTAAAATTAACTAGAGGGTACTCTGGTGCTGTGATCACTAGGTGACGATGGGAATGATGGGTAGTACACAGATTTGCCTAGCCTTCGTACTTCCGGGCGGCGAATCGCACGTGTGGCTTCGTTTATCGCTGGTTTTGGTTTTCTTTCGAAGAAAAAAACAAACAGTTTTTAACTTCGCAAGTCAATTTGAAATGATAAGCCTAAAAAATTAAAGTTGTAAAGTGCAACTGATAAACTATTGCTGATTGTTCTTTCGTGACAAAGCAGCTTCCAGCCATGCAAATCCAAAAGAAATGTAAAGTACGAAGACTAGGCAAACTCGTGTACTACCTATATTTCCCATGCTCGCTGAAGTGCCATGCGTTGCAGCTCCCACAGACACTAGTGTCAAAGTTCCTTCTAGTGTATATTTAGAAAACTATGGCACAGGGTACTAGAAGGGTGCCACTGTGTGTGGAAAAATAGGCCAGAGCTGACGTTCTGACACAATGCAGCATGCCTCAGCTTGTGCACTAATATGTACTGGCTGTGGCCCTATTTAATATCTTGACACGAGCTTGTAGTGGGTTTCTGGCTGTTGCGTGGCTAGTGTCATCATTACTTGTGCGTGTCGAAGGATTTTGTCGGTGAAAAGACGACGACGAACTCGCGCTGTTCGATTGAAGCTGTTATGCTGTTTGCTACACTGTTACTTGCGCTGATTTTATTACCGTGACAAACTGGTGGACGTGCTGGGTACAATCCAAATTCGCTAGTTTCAACTCAAGCCACTTCAGGCTTCTGCCACCATTTCCAGAATTCTGGAGGAAAACCTGGCACTTCGCCTCAGCTGTCGCTTGCAAGGACTATCTCTTGACCTTGGTCCCTTGAGCTCGGCAAGAATGACAACCACAATGGCAAGTCAGATGCAAGAGAGCATCGTAGACCAACTCGCATTCACCCCAAGCGTCCTCTACACAGCAAGCACCCCGAAGCCGTTTCATGGTGATGTATTCGAGGACGTAGATGACTGGCTGGACCAATTCGATTAGGTCGCAGCCGCCAATAAATGAATCGATATGAAGAAGCTTCGCTACATCTATTTTGCACTTGAAGACTTCGCTCGCATCTGGTATGAGAACCATGAGTCGAATATCACCAACTGGCAAGAATTCGAGCGACAGCTATGCCAGGCATTCAGAAATCCCGAAAGGAAACAAAAGGCCGAGCAGGCTCTGCAGAGCCGGGTTCAGAAGCAAAATGAAAACGTGGCTATGTTTGTCGAAAACATGTCACGCTTGTTTAAGCACGCTGACAAAGAGATGGATGAAACAAAAAAGTTCAACTCCTCCTGCGGGATATATCAAGGAGCAACTTTTCGCTTAACTCATACGCAAGCCCCCAATCACTGTCGATGAGTTCATCGTGGAAGCTACTATTATGGACAGGCACTTCAGCAACGCTCTCTACAGTACGACCCCCAAGCTTCTGTTGCCGCGGTGTAAGCTTTCACCTGTGGACAAAACTTATCAGCACTCCGCGAGCTTGTGTGGAGCGTGGTCCAAGAGGAGCTCGAAAACGTCCATCCCACTTCTGCTCACCCAAGTGCGACAATTCTGGGAGACATTATTAACGATGAACTCAGAAATGTGACCTAACCATTGCTCCCAATGCGTGCGAAAGCTCCTGCTCTGTCTTACGCCGAAGCATTGAGGAGTTCTCAACCTTCTTCCGGACGCCAGCCACCTTCTACTTTCTCCTCATTGCCCCATCAATTCCCACCTGCAAATAACTACGAGAGCACTTTCCAGTATGACCTTCCGCGTGAAGTCACCCGTAAATCTGACGTATGGCGCACCTCTGAACACAGGCCTCTTTGCTACAACAGCGGCGCAGCGGGCCATGTGTACCGCCAGTGTGCGTATTGCAGAATGGGCCTTAAGGGGTTTCACTTTAATGCGCATTGACCCAGCAACGGGGAGCGTCCTCGCGAGATTCAGCAATACCTAGCAGCTTAGCAGCCGTTTCCTCCTGCACAAAGCCACCGGCCACGCTCACCTTCTCCTCGGCGCCTCGGCTCGCCTAGTCGTAACGCCAAATTCTCTGGTGTACGAAACAGGTCCCCAAGTCCTGGCCCACGCCAGGAAAACTGAGGCCAGCGACCTCTGGGGGCAGGGCCGCTGTTGACCGAACTGACAAACATCCTCTGCCATGAGACATTGAAGACGCCAATATTTTTGTCACGAAATTTTCTGAACGTGACGCAGCAATTTACCCCAATATTTCTATAACCGTCGGCAATCACTCAACCACTGCACTCGTGGATACTGGCGCCGATTACTCCGTTATGAGTGACTTCATGGCTGCTCTCCAAAAATTGGTGACGCTATTAAGACGATGATGTTCAAGACACTGCGATCAGACTCAACTCCGTCTTTAAGGTATAAGGCAAAAAATACTTGTTTATTTAACTGTGCTCGGAAGGCGCTCTGCTGTAGCTTGTGCGTCCCCGCGTCTCTTGCTCGCGCTCTTCTTTTTTCTCGTTTCCTTGTCCCAGCCCAGAACGTGAGAAATAATCAACATTCTCGGCCGCGCAAAGTTAAACACATAGTTCAAGTGGATACAGTCTTTGTATCGGCCTTATCACAAGGCCGCGCAAAGTTAAACACATAGTTCAAGTGGATACAGTCTTTGTATCGGCCTTATCACAAGGTGACCGCCTTGCAACTTGATCTTGCAGGAATGAATGAGACCGTCGGCACTGCGGTACACTTCCGTGACCCTTGCAAGCTTCCATAGCTGGCGTGGCGTGTTGTCCGCATGCACGAGAACGATGTCCCCTTGCTTGAATGCTGTATTTGATTTCGTGTCAGCAAAGTGTGCAGATCGTAATTGCAACAGGTATTCATTTTGCCAACGCTTCCAAAAACTTTCAACCTGCAGCTTCCTGTAGTTGTGTCTGCGTATGGCGTCTGCTCATATAGAATTACTGTTAACTTGGTCAGCGGTTGCATACGGTATGTAAGTCAACCTTCGTCCAAGGAGAAGTTCGCCTGGTGTCAAAGTGCAAGGTTCTCCTGCATCTGTCTCGATGAAAGTCAGAGGCCTAGAGTTTACGACTGCTTCGACCTCCGCCAGCACTGTCGATGTTTCTTCGTAGTTCAGACGAGCTTTGCCGATAATTTTTCGCAGCGGAAGCTTCACTAATCGTACTAGGCGCTCTCACCATCCACCCTACCAAGGAGCATTTGGTACAATAAACTTCCACGAAATGCTGTTGCCGCTGAGGTGACCAGCGACATCCTCTTCAGAGAACATTCGGTGTAGTTGCTTTATGTGTGCCGATCTCTTGTGAAAGCTTCGTGCGTTGTCAGAATAGATCACCCTAGGTAATCCTCTCCGAGCTGCAAATCATCGTAGGCACAGCAGCAAAGCCTCGGATGTCATTTTCGAGACAAGCTTGAGATGCGCGGCTCAAGATATGGTGCACGTAAAAAGTGCAGGCATTATGATTGGGTGCTTGACATCTTGAGTGGAATGCATGAGGTATAAACGGCCTCTAGCCCGAAAAATTCCGTCTTTGTCTACGTAAAGGTGTAGTTCAGAGATTCGAGATGTAGACTCGACTGGTTGGCCATTGGTCAAAGCGGTGAGATCTTCAAGAAAGCCTTGCTCTTGTGTACATCTTATCCAATACTGTTCAGCGTTGAGGATTTTTGTTGCCACAAGATGTCCCGTATGATCCGTCCTTTTTCTGCATCGGTCAGTAAATCTGAAAACCCACGCAGTGACTCTGAGTAGGTGCTGAAGCTTGCTGTACCGTTGAATGTCGATTATGGGAACTGAGAAGCGTGTCATTAGTGCGACGTGGACTGTTGTAACTTCACTTTGGGTGGCTTCCGCTATGTCTAGTTCACTGAACTGTAGGGGCCATTCAGATATCGGTTTAGTTAGCCACCCGCGACTATGCCACCGTTTTGAGCTGCACAGCAGTCTTTCAAGCATCGTGCCACGCATAATTAGGTCAGCTGGGTTGTCCGTTCCAGGACAGTATCTCCACTTTGATGGATCTGTAGTGCACCTAATTTCATTGACTCTATTGGCTACGAACTGTTTCCACTTTTTGACGTCACTTTTATCCAAGACAACACAATGGCGGAATCTGTCCACATCGTGTAGTCAACTTCAACATTCCTCAAAGCACTTTTCACGTATGCTAACATTGTTGAGCCGATTAAGGCAGCCAGCATCTTTAATCGCGGCAGAAATGTCTCCTTAATGGGTACTACACGGGACTTCGCATTCAACAGTTTTGGCTCCTCAGGACTTGACACGACGTATATCACTGTTCCGTATGCCGCTTAACTGGCATCACAGAAAACATGTACTTGAAGCTAATTGGGCTTCCTTGCTACGCCTCCCAGGTAGCGATGAACTACGACGTTTTGCAGTTGCGGCAGCTGAATGACCAAATCATTCCATTCTTTTTGCAGGTCATTGGTTAGTACTTCATCCCAGCCAATCCCTCGTATCCACAGCTTCTGAAACAATATTCGTATAGCAATAGTATATGGTCTGACAAATCTGAACGGGTCAAATATTCTTGATGCTTACTGACTGCAAGACAAATTGTTATGTGTCCGTCTGTGCTGTCAAAAACCGGAGTAGATTTTCAACCGAAAAGTTGAAATCATCCTTCGTAGGATTCCAAACTAAACCCAGGACCTTGACCGATGTTTCGTGAAGAACGACCATCTCATTACTAGTAGATTCTACTTGATTTTTCAAGCGTTCGCATCAAATTTCCTGAATTTGTTGTCAATTTCCGCAATGTCATGCCGGGAGATTTCATTATTGTACGCGCTTCTCGGCAAAGTTTAGCGGCTTCCTCGTCTGAGTCGACACCAGTGACTAAGTGATCCACGTAAAACGACTCGGCAAGAGTTTGCGCTGTTTGTGCCATGGCAGCCGGTGTTCTTTTCACGTAGAAGAGAATAGTAGCTTTGAGAAAAAATGGGCTACATCTAGCTCCAAAAGGCACTCGTGTCATCCTCCACTCTTGCAGCTTGCCCTTGGATAAATCACCTTCTGCAAACCAGAGAAAACGGAAAGCGTCTCTGGACCTCTATAATCGCAATATGAAGGAATGCCTTTTCTATGTCCGCGATAACTGCCACCGGGTTAGTTCTGAAGCGTAGCAGAATTTGCACAAGGTCTTGGTATAAGTCGTCACCTTTTTCAAGGCAGTCATTAAGGGAATTGCATTCTTTGGTATGTGACGAAGCGTCAAACACCACTCTCACTTTCGTTGTCAGTGCTTGTTCACGCATGACTTCCTTGTGTGGCATGTAATATAATTTCGTCACCTCTGCAGGTACATCACTGACTACTTTGGTGTGTCCTGCCCTCAAGTACTCTCTTATGATATGGTCATACGTTTCAAGCAGTCCTCTCCTGGAGTCGAGACGGTTGATAAGCTTGTCCAGTTGAGTAACAGTGACTTGCTTGTTGCTTGCAAGCTCCAAATTATCCTTCCCAGGGAGGGCCACTTCATATCTTCCGTTTAAAAAGCTAATCGTTTGCTCAAAATACCTCATGATGTTGCTCATTTCAGGTGGCTTGTTTATTGTGTCCGTAATTCCTATGTTTTCAAGTTCTCAAAAGGAGCGCAAAATGTCATCAGAATCGGCAGCTTGGGCTTTTAGCACGCACACTATCAGAAATAGCAATTCGTTATACGGCTACAGGAGCTACCCAGTGCACAATTACAGCTGCCACCAAGATCAGCAGCACAATTGTTCAAAAAAGTCTGACGCCAAATCATACGCAGACTAATATTATGTAGGAAGAGAAAAGAGCTTGTCAATGAACTGAGACTAAAACTTATTTAGGTGTCTTTATCTAAAGAAAAAATTTTTCAATGACACAGGATATATAGCACAGGAAAACCAGGAGGGTGCAAATGTACTAGGGGCTCCACCCTTGAATAAGAAAATAAATAAAAGAATAAATAAATAAATAAAGAATAACTAAAATCATTCAATAAAATAATAAATCAATATGGGGCAATTATTTTGTGAAAAGAGCCAAATCCAAATTTTCCGACTGAATTCTAGCAATAGTAGATTATGTACACTTTAATTGCAAAATGGCTTCGAGGTATATTGATACCATGAGTGCAATAATGAAAAAATCATGGAAGTAAGGAGTAAACTCGACCAAACTAACAATAGCAAACAACTACGTTTTACTCAGTTAAGCTTAAAAGAAGCTTTGCTCTTATAATAGAGCCACATTTGTACAACTGGTTCTCAATTAAAATATATGAAACTAAGAGCCCATTTGCAACAACCAAGTAAAACAAGTGTGATGACTCATGTTGTGTCTACCTGTGTGGATAGCGAGTCAATTTTAGTCCTCCTTTCTGCATAACTTGGCCGGTATGCAGGGCCCTATCAAAAAACTCATGAAAATGGCATTTCACATGCAATACATCAGTGAATAGAACAATTGGTCTTACCATCCTGAAGCTCTCCTTTAGCAGCAAACTTCTTGAGTGCCTCATACTCCCTTTTGCTTTGCTCCTGCTCAGTCAGCAGATGCCGAATAGCTCGACTTCTGCCAGTAGAAGGTGAAACTTGAGGCGCTTCAACAGCCTTCACTGGTGACTGTGATGCAGGCCTGCCGACACGATGCCCTAAGGATGCGTCCTCCTTGACGTCGCAGTCCTGCTGCTTTGGTGGTGCATCTGGTACTGCCCTGGGAGGTAGAGAAGGACGCTTGCCCCAACCCCAGTGGGTCATTCCAGAACCTTTCACTGTATTGTCCCATTTCTCCTGTTGAGAACTGTTGCTTCCTGTCAAGTCTGAGCCTTTGAACCCTGCAGGCCTGGCTGACGACGTTACTTCTGCCCTGTTCAGCTGCATTGTGGCGGTATTTTCAGAGGGCTTCGAGTGAAGGTCGGGAAAGTCCTCATCGTGGAATCGGCGGTTTTCAACCAGGCTTCCACCCCTGGTTCTGCGACCACCACGTGTTCCTCCACTGCATCCTGACCTTGACCGGGGGGTGGAAGCCTCTTCATCTTTCCAGCTGCGCTCGTATTTGTTAGGGCCACGGCCATAGCGCCTCCATCTCGGAGCTCTAGGAGGCGTCGGTTTTGAACGAATATCGTAGCCATATATTCTCACAAGCTCCTCACTTGATTTCGGTCCCTGCTCCTCCTCACGATACATGTCATGTTCCCAAACACATTCTTCATGCCAGAGCTTCTTTGGTCGGCAAGAGCCCCTGCCATAAAAAAAGGAACACAACTTTCAAGATATGCAGGGTGGAAGCGGGCTTCAGTCTGTTTGGAGCAGCTTTGGGAGCAGTAATAATGCAGTTTTGGAACAGCTTTGGAGCAATAAAAAAGGAGTTTTGGAGCTGCTATGGGGCTGCAAAAGGTGTGTTCTGGAGCATCGAAATTCAGTTTTGGAGCAGATTTCTCGGGCAACACATCACTGTTAATTAAATTTTTGTATTCTGGTCAACACAAAAAATTTCAGTGGTTTTCACTACGCATGCAATGCTGATCAAGTGACCAAATTTACCCGAAATTCATATCTATCAAACCTTAGAAAATGTGAAAGCCCTGCAACTAAATAAAAAACATAGGTGGCATTCTAGACCTCAGACGAATAAAAAAATTTGGTGTTAAAATGTTGCAAGGTTCAAAATGTAATTAAAACAATGCATCTAACATGAACAGCACCTGATGATATTTGGTGTTTTTTGGCACAAAGGCCATTTAATGGGCAAGGAGCACCAGTTCATTGGACTGGAGATGTGGACAATGATTGTGATTAGCGGCTGTATAAGGGCCTTAAAATTCTTGGCGCTAGGGTGGGTAAAAACATAGAAGTAATAAAATCATGACCATGTCGTCAAATGAGTGCAGTATCAATGGATGACGAAAGTTTGTGACATCAAAAACCGTGATGGACATGTATGGCACTAGCATAAGTGCCTCGACTGTTCACATCCTCTCGTCCAAGGGCCATGAGGAAAGTGCTTTGTTCAGTGTAGCCACCACAGCGGAGACCTCTCTAGAGAGGTCGTGCTACAGAATACTCGTGTATATCACATGAAAGGTACATAGTTCTCTCAGAAAAGCAAACAACGATTTATGTGTGAGAAATGGTTCCCCACTAACGAACATTGCTGGTTGAAGTGGCATGTGTTGTCAGCAGGGTGAAGGAAAGTGTTGTCTCCTCAGCGTGTCAAATTATTTACACTGGGCTAAAATGTAAAGTACAATGAGTGCTTCTCCACATCTATCACACAAAGGTGGATCGCCACCATACAAACGAAATGAACGTGTTGTGTGTGCATGTCCTGTTCTTAACTTTGTAAGTATTACTTCTGTGTGGTGCGATTTTGATACTAGCGGCCAATGACCAAGTTGCGGCTTGATGACATGCAATTTATCACCTGTGTGTGTGTCCCATATGCTCTGCCAATAACCCCTGAGCTTTCATTTTAGAAAAGGTTTCAAGTCGAGTGCAAGAACTGGTATCTATGTATTGGTAGCAATTTTGTTGGCAGATCCAGATAGCTGGTCCACCAGAACGTTGCCTTCTATTTAACGGTGTCCTTGCACCCAGAAGACTACAGCATGCTGCTTAGATGAGTAGACTGTGCATAACAGTGAATAAAGTGAGACAAGGACAGGGTTTCGTGCTTTTTATAAAGTTTTCAGGGCTTTTACTATGCTTAGGGAATCTGTATATATAATTGCCTTTTGTGTTTTTATTTGTTTATTGTGTTTAACGGCCGCAAGTATTGCATAAGCTTTGCTGGTGAAAATGGGTGAATCAAAGTGCAGAACGCCGGCTTCCGAAAAGGATGGGCCAACAGCTGCGTACGAGACAGAAGTGTTGGTCTTTGAGGCATACGTAAAGAACTCAGGACATGTGTATTTCTGTTGCAATTCTAGGAAATATGTCTGAATATGTGCAATTGGTGCATGCTTCATAACCTCCAAGAAAGACATGTCCCAATCTATCGCCTGCCACTGCCACGGTGGCAGGCATACTGCGGGAGCCATCAAATGGTGTTCAAGTGGCACGCGAGTTTTTTTCGTTAGGCCCCTCACACACAGTGAGTACGGCTGTCTCATAGAAGACTGTTTCTCAAACACAGCAAGGCTTGACATGTCATTGTTTGTAGAATGTGAAGGTTTCCTTGTCTGCATTTACTTTAAAAGGATATGCTGTACTCAAAGACACTTTTTTTTTTTTAATATTCACCCTAGAGCAATGAAACTTGAGCTGTTTATAAAACTTATTGTGCTGATTTCAAATATATAATTAGTTTTCTTGCAAGTTGCTTACTTTTAGCTCTGCAATATGTCAATATGAGAACCTTAACTCTTTTACTTCCCTTATTTTCATCCTTAAAAGTTCCATGATTTTTTTGCCATTCATAGTTAATAATCTTTCAAATAAAGTGTAGAATACAAATAACTAATGAAGAAGCACATACAAAATACGTAATATGCATGAAAAATAATACCCCTGTCACACGGGCACTTAAAAGTCTTTTAAGTAAGCGGTCTTTTTCCGAAAAGGAGTTCCTGACAGCAGACACACGGCACAGAGCGAACTCATTTTCAGAAGCGGTCTTTTTCGTAAACGGCGTTCGTCGATCTCTTTTACGGCTCCGAATGAGTAGCCTCGAAACCAGTGGGCGCCAGCAATTTTCGAGTGGTGATAAAAAAAGAGCGAATGCTTATTTTTCTGTCACAAAAACTCTTTGTAAAAACAAATTTCATATCCTGCAGAAGGTGTAATGAACTCTTTCAATGGTTATTTCCTTTTCTACTTTCGTAAGCAGCTACAACGCGTCGGCAATATCACGTGGTGACGCTCGGTCTTGCGCTGCTTTATCTTCTTCTTGGCGGCTTTTGCAGCGTCTGCCTCGCTTTCCAGAGCAAGAAGGCAGGCCGTGAGGCTTGCGGTCCTCGCTTTTTCTCCCGTACGGTTGCCCATAACGTGTCGAGAGCAGTCGAGATCAGCGAAAAACAAATACGATAAATAAAAGCACAGTGGTGCCAGACGGACTTGTGCACGTCGCTAGTTATGGGAATGCTTCCTTATCTAGTGCAAAAAACTTTCACATTGGTGTTTCTTCATCTCTTACTTTTAAATTTATTTGAAGAAACGAGCAGTGCAACAAGTCTTTAATTTGTACATCGTGATACATCGTTTAATTTCTATTGCTTCTCTTTTAACTGCTAGCGCCACGCTTTTGCTAGCGTCTTTCGCTAGCGAAAACACTAAATGGAGATCGTTGCTGCCGTGTGTCTGCGCCGCAAACGCCTCTTTGTTAAAAGTCCTTCAACTTCGTAAAAGACCGCTTACTTAAAAGACTTTTTGCGCGCCCGTGTGACACAGGTATAATAGACATAAAAAGGCCATATTTCACCTACCGTAGCAAAAGTTTACATAAACTTTTTACTATAAAATAAAATATTGAAATATAAACAAAATATATGTTTTTGTCATACTTTAAAAAAAATTTGGACAAAATTTAATACAGATCCGATCTGTAGAAGTGCTCGAGAAAAAAAGCGCACAATGGAAAAAATGACAAAATTTTTGCTTTGGTAAAAACAAGTTTTAAAGATAAAATTGAGTTTTTATTTATGAAAGATGTCTATAAATTCGATGAAATTTGCACATCAACAAGAAAAGTCCTTCTTGTAATGGCCACTGCCTCTAAAACACGCCAGAACCATGAGTTTGTCTTTCTCAGCTTTTTCGAGCCGACTCCGCACAGACATTTCACTCACAGACAGGGCCATGAAACACTTATCAAACTTTTTTCGCTCCATCTGGCAGAGCTTTGTGCCAACTCAAAGCTAGAAAGAAGTTCGACAGGACTGCGAAATCTAAACTTAGACCAGTGTCGAGGGACACAGCAGTGCCGATGTCATTTTGCGGCCATGTTTGTGTCACATACCGTGGTGCATAATGGCAGTGTCATACCCCCTAAGCTTCCTCACTGTGAGCTCCTTCAACTTCGAGAGATTTGCACTGACTAATTCATTGCCGCATCACAAACTTTTTGGCTGATGGCTGTGAATGACTTTTGATGCATTCACTTTTGCAAGCCAAAAACTGCTGCAAATCGGACCAGCTGCTCGTAGCCTATTCTTACAGAGGGCGGCCCCACAGCGGCTTTCACATGCGAACAATGGCTTGTTTCATTCATAACAGAAATATATACACTAGAAAAGCATTGTTCAGCTATGCTGCTCGACAAGACAAACTTCGCAAGGAGGCTTCACAGCACATACAGGCGCGCAGCGGCCAATGGCAGTCCCCGATCCATACCTCGTCATAAGCCAGTCGTGGCCCACGAAAAACGCGCAAAAGCATGCTTCTTTTTAATATTTATTGCACCACATCAGGGAGGGAAAGTGTCATTATTTGAAGAGTGAGGGTCGACTCTTCGCCTCATGCCATCGACAATGTCGAGTGGCGGCGTATTATCGACGGCAAGGTGCTCGAAGACTGAACACTTTGAGCCTTTTACCAGGCGCCTTGTACTCTGTAAACGCAATTTTAAAGCATTTCCGATTAAGTCTTGATATGTTTTGTTTTTCCGGAACAGTAGAGGTAATCATCTTATAACAACAGGCGAAAATGAAAAATCAATAATTTTGAAGAAAACTCGTGTTTTTTTACCCGCATATCACCTTAAGATAATATTTTTAAGACATGTAATATCTCTGTAGGTGGAGCGACCATTCGTTCGATTCCACGTACAGCATTTCCACGGGGCTAGTGCGAAAAGCACCCGTAGAGAGACGGATACCTACATGATGAACAGGGTCAAGCATTTTAATGGCAGTAGGTGTCACAGACTGATATGCTATTGCCCCATAATCTAGGCGAGTACGTATAAGGCTTGTATACAAATTGATCAGACACTTCTTGTCACTTCCCCACATAGTGCGTGACAACACTTTTAGAACATTCATGGCTTTTATGCACTTGTTTTTTAGATACTTGATGTGTGGTATGAAGGTTAGCTTGGTGTCCAAGATTAGGCCTGAGAATTCGTGTTCAGTATAAACAGAAAGACGTTGTCCATGTAGTTGAATAACAGGTTCGGAATGAACGCCTCTCCTCCTGGTGAACAAAACACAGTTGCTTTTCTGTGCATTCAGTCGGAACCCATTTTCTTCTGCCCAATTAGACACTTTGTTCAAACCAAGCTGAACCTACCCCTCCCACATG